TCTCTCTCACTCCCGAGCTTCCTCTTCAACATAAACCGACCCACCGGCACAAGTCTTGTGTTGTGCAGTGACGAGGTTGACCGCTTTCGGCTCCCAAGTTCCCCATCGCTTGCTAGCCTCGCCTCTTTTATTTCTCGACCTTCCGGAGAGCCATTTATCGCACCTCGTGCCCATTTTAATTCCACCACGGGTTGCCACAACCACAGTGAAGCTCTAAACAAGCATCTCTTCAGTAGCCGTCACCGGCCAAGACGTCACTCTCGCCAATCGGCAGTCCAGATTCGGATTGTCGACCCGTGTTTCAGCGCCCCAAGCCCGTCGCCTGGGATCCACGCCTCTTGTCAGCGACTCGCCGGAGCACTTCCGGTTTCCAGCGGCCTTCGCAACTCCGAGGCCCCGACTCAGGAGCGAGAAAAAAAAAGGCACGGGACAGCTTGTCTTTCTTCTCACGCGGGATTGACCACGTTTTGGACACCCACTTCTCACCCTCATCACCTGTTCACAATGAGTAGACTGGGCTCATGGTTCCGCTCGTCGGCCAAGGGGAGCAGCAATGCGAGCCCGGCCTCGTCGTCGCTCAATCTCTCTTCCAAAGAGGTGACCGCCAAGGAAATGGCCGATATCGAGGATGCCATGACGGCTGCGGCCTTCATCATGAACGACGACATTGACGGCGCCGAGGAGCGTCTGCGGAAGGGCGACTCGGCCTTTCACCAGCTAGGCATGTCGATGACGACATTTCTCCGCTCCGTCCTCGGGTTTGAAAAGGAGGTCATGAACGAGGCCTCAAAACGGCTGGCCGACACCGAGGCCAAGGCGTGGGCGGACTACAAGAAGGCCGAACGTGAAGGGCACGCCTCGAGCAGCAGGATTTATCCACCGGGGACCGAGTTCCTGCTCATCCATGCCGAGTCTCAGCTCATGGCGGCCGTCGTCGCCGTTCTTCACGAGAGTCTGACCGAGGCCCTCAAGGGCTTCTACAAGCTGCGCAAGGCGTTTGTCACCCTCGACGGAATCATGTTGCAGGAGGCCAAGGCGTTGGAGAAGGACAAGGGGAAGGCGGACCCGCCCCCGCTGAGGCAGCGGGCGAGCGAGGAAAAGATGCCCGGCAGCTTCGACGACGAAGAGTTTGCCGACCTGGACCGCAACGACGACAGCGACGTCGAGTTCGTCGACGCCAGCGAGGTCCCCAAGTCGGGGTCCGAGACGCCGGCGGAGAAGAAGGCCAACGGCTCGACACCGGAGACCCCGGCGCAGGAGCTGGCCACGCTCGACCTCAACTCGGGCACGTCGACGCCCTTGGGCGACGCGAAGCTGGCGCCCCTGCAGGTCTCGTCGCAGCTGGCCGACGACTCGGACACCGAGTCGGGCGTCTTCTCCAACCCCGTGGACGCCTTCATCCACAGCGGCGCCAACATGTGCTTCGGCATGCTCCTCTTCATGCTCAGCATGGTGCCGCCCGCCTTCTCCCGCCTCCTGTACGTCGTCGGCTTCCGTGGCGACCGCGACCGCGGCGTGCGCATGCTGTGGAAGAGCACGCAGTTCGACAACCTCAACGGCGCCGTGTCGGGCCTGATCCTCCTCGGCTACTACAACGGCCTCATGGGCCAGGCCGACATCACGCCGGCCGAGCGGGACTTTGACGCCGACGCCGAGATGGTCGGGTACCCGGCCAAGAAGTGCGAGGCGCTGCTGGCGTCGATGCGGACGCGGTATCCGGACTCGCGCCTGTGGCGCGTCGAGGAGTCGCGCGTCATGGCGCAGCAGCGCCGGCTCGCGGACGCCATCCAGCTGCTCACGACGGGCGAGGAGTCCAAGATGCGGCAGGTGACGGCGCTCAACTGCTTCGAGCTGGCGCTCGCCGCCATGTCGCACCAGGACTGGGAGCTGATGCAGAAGACGTTCCTGCGCTGCCTCGAGCTCAACGACTGGAGCCACACGCTGTACTACTACATGGCCGGGTGCGCGGAGCTCGAGCTCTACCGCGACGCGTTCCACGCCGAGAAGAAGGACGAGGACGAGATGCGGAGGCGGAAGAAGAAGGCCGAGGAGCTGTTCCGCAAGGCGCCGACGGTGGCCGGGCGGAAGAAGTTCATGGCGCGCCAGCTGCCGTTCGACACCTTCATCACGCGCAAGGTCCAGAAGTGGGAGGACCGCGCCAAGGAGTTCAAGGTCGACCTGGCGGATGCCGTTGCCGTCAGCCCCGCGCAGGAGATGGTGAACCTGTGGAACGGCACCAAGAGGATGAACGACGAGGAGCTGCACTTGTCGGCCAGGAGCCTGGATTGGGAGCGGTGCACCATGCCGGCCGAGCAGTTGGAGAAGGTGAAGAAGACCCCGGACGAGGCTTCTATCCGATCCATCTCCTTGGCGGCCATCTACAGGACCCTCGGACGTTTCGAGGACGCGAGGACGATTCTTCAGACCGAGGTCTTGGACGCAGACAGGTGGGTCTACCCCTTTCCCCCTCCCCTCAAGATCGGAAGGATGCCAACGCTAACAACGTCACAGAGCCGCATTCAAGGGCGCCACAAAGGACGAGTACCCGATGCCCATGGCCCACTACGAGATGGCAGCCGTGGCCTGGTTCGAGGGGTGCCAGCCGGAGAAGCGCCCCGCCGCGGCGGCCGACGAGCCGACGGACGCCGAAGGCCAGGCCAAGGCCGTGGCGGACTACCGCAAGAAGAAGACGGCCGAGTGCCAGGAGTGGCTCGACAAGGTCGTCGCGTGGGAGGCCTTCGTCTTCGACGCGAGGCTAGGCATGCGCGTACAGGCGGCTCTCGAAACGCTCAAGTGGTTCAAGAAGAAGAACGCGTGGGCATAGACGGTGCTACTCGGGGGGGGTTCTGGGTTTAGGGATATACGGCAAGGGAGCCTTTTGGGGCGCATTCGGATCCGGGTCTTTGACGCGTGGGAACGATGAGCGGGTTGTAGACTCTTCGTCGGTATATACATATGTGGACGTGTTGACTATGAATTGGGTATCCTTGGGAACATACAACAAGTAACCGCATTGACCGCCAGGCCAAGCCTTCTCCGTTTACAACCAAAGACAGGGGGGGGGGGAGGCATCTCCTAGCCGCTCTTCTTCGCCTTGCGGCCCCGACCCTTCTTCAACTCCTGAATGCCATCCTGCAGGAACCCAGCCCCGCCGCTGGCCGCCCCCTCCCCCCGTTCCTTGACGCGATGCTTCCCCGCCTCGGCGCGCACGTCGTCGACGACGTCCTGCCCCCGGCTCGTCCCGTGCGCCCAGTCCAACACTCCCCACGCGCCGTAGTTCCCGCCCCCCTTGCCGGCGTAGTGGATCGCCGTGCGGCGCGCGATGCCGCCCATGACGATCCCCGGCACGACGCTGTACCCGGACATGGCCATGGTCTCCTCGACGGTGCAGAAGCCGACGAAGAGGAAATACGTCAGCAGGTGCGGGCGCAGGGCCAGGGCGGGGAGGAGGGCGGGCGCGACGCGGTGCAGGAGGAAGGGGAGCGGGTGGTCGGCGAAGAGCATCAGCGAGAAGGGCGGCGCGGCGCGGGCGTGGGCGTACGAGGCGTGGAGCTTGCCGATGCGGGTCGAGCCTCCGCCGCCGCCGCCGCCGCGGGCGTGGAGGACGCGCGTGTGGATGTAGTAGGTCAGGACCTCGCGGGCGGCGATGAGGAAGGCGATGTGCTTCAGGAGCTGGAAGGGCAGGGGGAGGGCGGTGGAGGCGCGGAAGAGGGGTTCGTGGAAGCAGGAGGCGTAGGCGAGGCTTGCGGCGCCCTCGACGCCGGCGGACAAGGCGAGGTTGACGAGGGCCAGGAGCAGCATCTTGAGGAGGGTGGGGCCGTGGGTGGGCGGGAGGGCGGAGGCGCCGGCGGTCTTGATGGATTCCGCGATGGAGGGGATGAGGGTGTCGAAGAGGAGGAAGGCGAGGGAGGGCAGGAGCCAGAGGACGAGGCGGAGGGCGAGGGCGCCGAGGAGCTGGACCTTGAGGGGGCCGTGGGAGAGGACGAGGGTCGTCCAGGTCAGGTAGAAGAAGAGGAGGTTGAGGGAGGTCGTCCACGACGTTATCGAGGGGGCGAGGAAGTAGGAAACGATCGGGAGGGAGAGGAGGAGGTCCATGGCGGCGGGTTTTCAGTTCTTGTTCTTCTCTTGGACTGGTGTTGGAGTGAGATGGCAGTGATTGCGGTGGGTATAAGCGAGCCGTGGGCGCCGAAGGAGGAAATGGGTGCCAGTCTTGTCCAAAGTCGATTGCGGCGACAGACTCCACGACCCGGAGGAGGAACGCATTGCTTCTGCGACACGGCCGGGCCGTTGTATACTGGAGCGGACGTGGGCGAACAAGCATCGAGGCGCACGTTGGCAGCCATGACGTAGGGCGGTCGCATGGGTGCGAAGAGTGCTGCGTCCCACCTGGGACTAGCGCCAGAGCTGTACCAAAGAACGAGTCTCCCCAGTCCGAGGCCAACGCGGGAGGATGGGCAGCCTCGAGAAAACCGGTGCATTGAGCGCATGGGTTCTGTTTCGCGCGCGTAAAGGGTGTCGACCGAGTGCATTGCCCTGCCTGCGCACAGCCGGTCGAAATTCCGACGTCGACGCGGACTGCGGACCCACCATGTCCGAGCCGGCCGGTCCGGGGCCGGAGACCCAGACGATACCATCACGGCTGGACTGGAGGGGCTCTACCTCGACTCACATTGACTACATTGCCAGCATTTACACGGGCTGGGCGTGATGGGATTCCTCGAAGGAGTGGGGGAAAGAAGAGGGGGGAAAACTAAATGTAAAACGATTTGAAGCGAGAGGAGATGAACAATGAGACGACGTACCGGACGCTGCTCAAGACACACGACGCAGCAGCGCATCCTCCGCGGACGCACTCTGATGGCGGGCCAGCAACTACGGTCCCGCGGAACTATGGAGACACGCACCCCATCGTCCCCACAGGGCGGGAAACCCGCGCGTCCCCCGCCGTCGAGTAACCTAGTCCCAAACAAGGTCTGGAATCTTCAACAATCAGCAGTCCAGGCGAAGTGCCAGAGTGGTTAATGGGTGTGCCTCGAAAGCACATGGCTTCGGTCGCGCAAGTTCGAATCTTGTCTTCGTCGATATCTTTTGTCATTTTCTTTTGCCGCACCAGGTCGGTTCGAGTGCTGGGCCGTGGTGGCGTTTGCGTGGTTGATGGTTCAACCATCCCCTGGAAAAGAAGCTGGGCACTGGATTCCGCCGACTGTTTTTTTTTAATCCTGGGTTGGCTCTCACCAAACAGCCTAGTTTGCTGCTGGACATCGGGTCTACCAAATGCCAACCCACCAGTGCCGATTATTAGACATCCATTTCATTCAACGTCATACGCCCAACCCCAGCTACGTACTGGTTTTCTGGTATCCTTTGCTTGGGATACCAGTGCACTCGGCTATTGGTGGCCCAGCACCACACGACTGCCGGTCCCCTACAGGTACGGTCCGCGCTGCACACTGCTCTGCATGCATCTGCAACAGCCTCCAGTGACATCGCAATCTTGAAGCCCTGCTAGCCACTCTCAACTCGAAAACCCACACTCGAGGTGGGCAGAAGAAACATTGTGAAGTCCACAAAGGAGATCGTATTAACACATTACTCGGCGTCTGCCCGCGACTTGCAACGCGCGGGACAGTCTGACGCTGTACTGGTACTATATACTGCATTGCAAGCTTGTGCAAACATGGCTGCCAACACCTCTCATGAATTCCCCCGTTTCGCCGCCGGTCCTGGCCTCTATCCGTGGCTTCGTCTCCCCGAAGCTCGTCCCCAGGACCCGCCCCGCCCATCCCAGAAAGCCTGCAGGCGCGCTCGACGCCGATGCTGTACAAAAGTGGTATTCGACACAGGAAATCATACATGGCCGCCGCCTCGACATATTATAAAACTCCCCCCTACGTGGGTATGGATATAAATCAAAGCGTAGGTCAAATCGTAAATGATAAAGGTCATTCAGAAAAATAGAGTCCGGAACATGGACTGCCAAGCGGCTCAGGTCGGCCGTGGTTTCGAACAACCACCGCGTCAGGCTTGCATCCCCTCTTTTCACCGCGTACCGGTTTTCCGTCCGCGGTCGTCCTTCTTGGACGTGGCACGCAGCCAGTCGTCCCATTCCTTGCTAATCTCCATGAGCACGGAGCCCATGACGCCGGCGCTGGCCATCAAACCGTGGCCTTCGCCTTCGAGAACGCGGACTTCGCACCGCTTCATCGTCTTGCCGAGCCACTTGACGTTGTCGACCGGCACGCGCGTGTCGCGGCTGCCGTGATGGATCACGACGGGCCGCGTGATGTCAACGTATCGGAAACCGATGGTGTGCCTGCGTTCCAGGCAGACCAGTAGGTCGACGGCAGGGTTGGCGCCCGTTGTCGCCAGCTCCCAGATGGCATGCGTCAGTCTCGTGTCGTAGATCGTCTGGCGCTCCTTGTCCATCAATGCATCCGATGCGGCGGCCAGGACCTGCACGTCGGCATTGTAGTGCCCCTGCGCCGAGGCCGTGCCGTTGGGCCGGATCCTGTCCATGTTCTCCATGGCCGTCGGCGCTGGCCTCCCCGAGAGGTCGTCGCCTGTGCTGGCGCGGTCGTACAGGCCCAGGTTTTCCTTGTCGAGCTGGGGTGTGGTGTCTCGCTTGCTCCCGTGCGTCGCCGGGGTGTCCCGGCCAGTCGTCGCGGTGGACTTGCGCTTGCTTCGTCTGGGCGTCTTGGGCAGCGAACTTGTGATGGAACTGCTCGTTGCCGACATGAAGGAGCTGTTGGCCGCCTTCAGGAACGTCGCGGGGAGCGCCCGCAGGATCCGTTGCGAAGTCGGGATCGCATTGGTCGGCGGGAGTGCCTGTGACGTGCCGAACACGTTCATCTGCGAGGGCGGGATCCACGGCGCAAGCAGATGGATCTTGCCGCGGATGTGCTGGGGCATCCGGAGAGCCGTTGCCAGCGCGTAGATGGCGCCGGCGGAGTGGGCGAGGATGGAAAACTTGGTAATCTTCAGAGCCTGGCAGATGGCGTAAACGTCGTCGGGCCAGCTGAGCGGCGTCGCGGTTCCGTCGGCGTACGGCTCGCTGTCACCCACGCCGGGTCTGTCGGGGGTAATGAGACGCAGCTTGAGCGTCAACGCGAGCTCGTCGTAGAATCCCGTGATATATCTCGTCAACCCCATGCCCACGCAGCAAAAGACGGCAGAGCCATCCGCGTCTCCCACTTCGGAAAAGGAAATAACCCGGCCCGTCTGCGGGTGGCGGATCTTTTGCGATAGCCGAGGCGAGCACAGGTACGACTCGACGGCGTCGTCAATGGAGTCTGCGCTGCGGGGGCGTTCGTAGCCGGCGGGCATGCTGTTGCGGGCGTCTGGTGATGCGGCCGAGTTCCGTGGATTGGCCGAGTCCTCTCCCTTGGGGCTCAATGGCTGCGAGAGCCGCTTGAGCCTGGAACTGCTGCGTTTCATCTTGATGGCCTCGCCTGCGTCCGGCATATCGCGTGTCGATTTCCGTCTGTTTCGGTCGGCCATCAACTCGTCGCGACGACGACCCTGGGCGACGGCGGGGAACGGCGCGCCGTCCTCGACATCCTCCTCGACCAACGGTCCTGTTGTTGCCCGCAAGTCCTCCGTGTGTCTCGACGGGAACAACGGGCGGCTGAACGATCTCATGGGCGGCTCGGTCGAGGCCCTGGCCAAATCATTCTCGGAAGCGTGGCGGGACAAGTGTTTCCGCCGCGGTGCCGCGCCCGAAGGGTTCTGCTCCTCCCCCTCGAATATAATGTCGTTGTTGCTGTTCGCGCTCTCTCTCTTGGACCTCGAGGACCTCACCGATCCTCTCTTCGCATTGGCCCCGGTCTTGAAAAGGGACGAATCGCGCTTGGGGATCGCTCTGGGACTGGTGGCCGGATCCAGGGTCGGGGTCGGGTTCGTCATGTCGTGGTTGCGGGAGCGTTGCCGCGTGGGCGATTCCGGGCTGTAGGCGGGCTCTTCTCGAATGGGCGTCTCGGCGAGGAAGGGGTCTGGTCGGAGGGATGCTCCCGTGAAGCTGTTGGAGCTACGGTCGCCGATGCTCGCGCGCTTCTTTTCTTCTTTCTCTCGTAGTCGCTCCTTGGAACTCATGTACATCAAGCCCCTGTGGCTTCTACCCTGCTTCCTGCCCCAGCTGTCGAACGAGCTCTGTCGCCTGAGTTCCGGGGTGGGCGGAGGACCGCGTTCTATCGAAAGATTGCCTATGCTGTGGGCATCGTCCCGCGATCCGAGGGAGCCTTTCGAAGAGGGCCGCGAGGAGCTCCGTAGGAGGGACTTGAGGCCACCGGAGCCGTCGCGGGCGGGGGATTTGGGAGCGGTCAAGGGCGACAAGCCTGAGGGGGGTTTGGCGGTCCGGATGACAGGCGCGGCGGCAGCGATCTCGTCGAGGGGGACGTTGTTGGTCGGGAGGTTCTCGAGCGAGGGTTGCTGGAAGGCGCCGTAGTCGACCCCAAAGCTACCGTGGCGAGGGGATACGGGAAGGGACAAGCTCGGTCCGCTGCGCTCAAAGTGCTGGTCGGCTGGCTTGGATATCACGGAGAGGCTGGTGATTAGGGAAGAGATGACCTCGGGCGAGCTGGGAACGGCGTCGGCAGAGCGGCGGGACGGAGGTGGAAGCGAGCGCCGACGCGGATGAGGTTCAGGGGTTTGGAGGTTTCGATAGCGGTGGGGGATAGGGGGGATTGGGCTTGGATCGCAGTTGTTGTCCATGGCGACGAGCGAAAGGAGGGAGGACGAGGAGGGCAATCAACCGTCACACCACGCGGGCTGCAGGACGGCACAGGCACCGGCCTCGGGACTCAGGAGAGGGCACGGAACCGTTGCTGAACGGGCTGCGTAGCAGGTGGCAGGAAGGCAAGGACTGCAAACTGCAGATGGCTGCAGGATGGTGTAGCAGCGAGGGGGAGTGAGCCGCCGAGTAGTCGTACAGAGAGAGTACCCGGTACGTACAAGCAAAGCCCAAGGAGAGGGTCCGGGCGACTGCGACTGTGACGGACCCAGCAGGAACAATGGGAACTGCTGAGCTAGGGCGGCCGCGGACCCTCCCTCACGGTGCTCTAATCGGGCACCGGGGCTACACCACAAGCGTCGGATGGCGGGAAATGGTGCTTCTGGAATCGGCAGCGGGCTGCGGTTGATGTGGCCCTGGAATGGTCGCCAGCAAGCGTAGCCAAGAGCCAGGTCGTGGGCAAAAAAAAAAAAAAAAAAAAAAAAAAAAAAAAAAAGGGCGCCGGCACACACGCACGCGCGCACAGGGCAGGGTTGATGCAGGTACGCGGTGTGGTAGATTAAAGCGTGGTGAGACCAAAGGAACGTTGACAGACGAGGAAAGGTGCGCCGAGCGACAGTGGGTAGGGCCAGAAAACCGGGCGAGGGAGGGCGCGTCCGGCGTCCAGGAGCAGTAAGGCCAGCGTCCCTCTGGGATCATGCAGGATGGCAAGCAGCGGCGTCGTCGTCGTCGTCGTCGCAGTCGTTGTCGCAAGGGCGAGGTAGCTGCAAGGTACCCGGTGCGTACTGCAGTGTCACCAGTGTGCCGTGTCGACGGTGTAAGAGAAGGGAGGTATGGGTATGGCGGGTTCGCATGCAATGCGTGGCTGCAGCTGCAGGCAGGGTGAAGCGGAGCGCGTCGGGGACGGTATGTCTATCTCCTGGGCGGCTTGTCTCGACTTCTCGCGTTGATCGACCGAGAGAGGAGCTCATGGGAAGGGGGCCGTGCTCTCCCTCTTCTTGGTCGGGCAAGTGCTGCGTCTGGTCCTCTGGGGATCTTTTTTTTTTTTTTTTGGTTGAACCTTCTTCCTTGCTCTCCGTTGCGCTGGATCAGACAACAAAGAGAGAGGTGTGGGTGGGTGTGTGTGTGTGTGTGTGTGTGTGTGTGTGTGTGTGAGTGAGAGAAAGAGAGAGAGTGTGTGCGTTTGACGGGAGGATTTCTGGGATTTGCCTTTGCTGAATCGGGGATGGACTCGATGGGGGGAGGATCTGGTCGAAAGGGGTGGTCGGACGGGGAAGAAGGAGAAGAAAGGAAAACGGGATGGAAGCGCGGACGACCAGGGAAAGCAAGAAAGACGCAGGGTCGCATGGGACGTTG